CTTCTTCTTCTCTCTCTCTCTTTTCCTGAAGCTTTCTTATTAAACATCGTTTTCTTCTTCACGCATTTTACTATTTTTAACAGCATACATTTTTCTATTTTTATAAGGTATTTCTCCCACCTTAGCATGTCTTCATGGTGTAATGGTCAGCACACTCGGTGCCTATTCGAGAGGTCTGAGGTTCGAGTCCCGGTGAGGGCATTGCTTATTTTTCATGATTCCTGCTTCAAAAAAATGCTGATGTCTCTACATTTCTTCAGTTCATCATGTCAATGTTCAGTATTCTTAGTAAGATGGCTAACAAAAAAAAAAAAAATTTTTTTTAATTTTATTAATTTTTTGTGTGATAATTTTATTTATTAAATATCATGTTCTTCGCACTTAACGCTACATAAAATTCAGTTCAACAGCAAAATCACAAGATATTAAAAACAGCATATCTTTAGAATTCCCGATAAAAGATAGAGATTTTCATACATATTTTTATATTCGCTATATTATTTCTTTTAAAACTAGGCACTTGCGCAGTCAACTGCCCAAAATAGTTATCATAAAAAAGAAAAAGTATATAACGATTTCAGTAAGTCGAGCTAAAGCAATTTCATAAAATACTGAATATTTTTCTTATTACACATTTAATGATTTTAATACATCTTTATTTAATTCAATCATATTTAAAAATAGATTTCAATGCTTCTTGATTTAAATCAGTCACGTTAAAAAATAGAAAAAGATAATTCGTAAGAACTGTTTTAATTGCTTTTACATTGCTTAGTTTATTACTCAGTAATCTTCTAGATTAAATTTGAATATCTTAGGCTTCATTGAGTGGCATCACGCTGGTGTGTGGAAGATAGAAGTATCTTATTTTCAGGCCGCAGCAACATATTGATTTTATAGAGACGAATTTTTTTATCAAAATTGAAAGATAAACTTCTTACATTTTTCCGAATGGCAACAGATCGCGCGCTGGAGATAAAATTATTTTATTTCGAACAATGTTACCTCTGTTCTCTTTAAAATCTTTTAGTTTGTTTGTCAAAAATTAATTGAAGTTTTACAAAATATGAAATAAATAGGAAAACAAGTTCAAAATGCAGGTTTCCAGATGTTACATGTTCGTGTAGAGGACTACGACATTCAAAATTTGATGACGCTTTTTTTCACAGTTCGAGGAACGTGATTCTTCGTTATTTAATTTCTTTAAAAGTAATGCATGGCGATAATATTTGGTGGCAACAATTTGAAAAGTGAATCAGCCATCTAAAATGAGGTGAAATTTAGTGATATGTCTCAAAAACCCCTTTCGAGACTTTTTTGGGTTAATTAAAAAACAAATCTAAAAGGTTTCAGATTTTGTATTACGCTCAAGGGGGCGTTTTTTTAACGTTTTGTGTGTTATTTCTGTTTATTAAATATCATTTCGTCGCACTTAAACCATAGAAAATTCAATTCAAGAGCAATATCACAAAATATTTAAAAACAGCGTATCTTTAAAATTTCCGATAGACGGTCTCCCGTACTGGAGATAATTTTTTTTTTTTTTTCCCTCGTACTGTGTTGCTATTGTACGATTTGAAATCGTTGAGTTTGTTTATCAAAAATTCGTTAAAGTTTTACAAAATATGAAATAGACAATAAACCAAATTTTAAATTCAAAATTCGGGCTTCCAGGTGCCCATGTTCGAGTGGAGGATTACGTTATTCAGAATCTGATGGCTCTAGATACCGTCGTTTTTTCACAACGCGAGAAACATGCATACATTCATGCAGATTCTTCAATATTTAACTTCTTTAAATGTAACACAGGGCGATAATATTTGGTGGCTGCAATCTAAAATGTGATTCGCTGTTTATAATGACATGCCACAAAATGCCGTTTTGAAACTAATAGCCCTTAATAAAACTGTCAAATTTAAATCAAATATTCTATTTCTTTTGTCTCTCAATCTCTTTTATTAGCCCAAAGGGGCGGTATTAACTTCAAAAAACGCATCTCCAAAGTAATATGACATCATTAATCCATTATGCAATGTTTTTTCGCCGCAACGAGCTACCGTAAATAAGTACTGCTGCTATTTTGAGCAGCATATGGCACGTGTTATGTAAAGCGAAACATTTTCGGCGGTGGGTCCAACAAATCGACAAATAGCTTTCTCCTTGACATTCCATAAACGCGTGGTATAGTGTATTGTTTATCGTCGATTTGCCTTCGTCGAGACGTTAATTTGATGCCATATCGCCGTTTTCCTCTTGAAACGTTCCACTTCAAATGATTTCCCCGTTCTCGGATTTTGAGCAATTTTGCTTTTGTTTCCACGTGCCTCTTTCTCAAAATATTTATTTGTTGCCAACTGTCATCATTTGTATTTTATTTTTTCAAAGTTTTGCAAAGGTAACGAACGTAACAGTTGTTTAGTGTTAATGTTTTTCTGCGGAAGAAGAAAAATCACATGAAGGAGGGAGATAAGGGGGAAAAAAAGGCTTCATCTTCTGCTTGAATGATCTGCAGTTTTAAAGAAAAGTATCCTTTCAAATGCAGAGCAAGGAACTGCAGAATAAAGGTTTCCTATTTCACAATTTACGTCTGTTTTTTTTAATCCCCACTCCCTTTTCGTTTATTCGCTCGTGTTCTGCATCTGCCATAATAATCTTAGCCAGGGTTTCTGAAACTTTTTTCATTTACAACCCTTTTCTTTTCATCTGACGAAATTTTTCGCTCCTGTTTCCCTCCACTTGACCTGTAACTTAAAATAATAATAATAATAATAATAATCTGAGAGTTTTCAGATTTTATATTGCGCCCGAAGAAGCTTTTTTTAACATTTTGTGTGTTACCTTTATTTATTAAATATGTTCTTCGCACTTAAACCATAAAATTCAATTCGCAAAATAATTTTAAAAGGCTTCCAGTTGCCCATATTCGGGTGGAGGATTACGTTATTTAAAACTGGATCGCTCTAGGTACCGTTGTTTTATCACAATGCGAGAAACATACATACATTTATACAGATTCTTCATTATTTAATTTCTTTAAATATAATACAGGGCGGTAATATTGGATGGCAACAATTTGAAAAGTAATTTAACGCATTTAAGTTTTCAATAGAAAACGACAAAACGAAATTAGTAGACCTTTGGGCTAATAATAATAATGTATATGGACTCTTTAAAATGTGATAAAATATCGTTAAAAATAATAACTTGGATATTTCCAAATACTAGAATTAAAATATAGTAATTAATTTCAAGTATACCATAAGTACCAATAAAAATGCACTATATATACATTGCTTATATTAGGCAAAGCGTTGGCCATTTAATTATTCCTAAAAACTCTTTGTTAGGTGAAGGGCAAGTAATAATTTTGTTCATAATATATGAAGTTAGAATTTTGTTCATAATATATAGAGTTAGAAATATTTATTGCGTACACTAATGATGAAAATGTTTATAAAAGTTATCAGTTAAGTTGTATTATAAATCACGTGAGTTAATTATATTAATTACTTCTGGCTTTTAAATGTACTGGAAAAATTGCCTAAAGGGAACACCAAGCATCAAATTCAAAAACTGCACAGAATTTCTCTCTGCAGAACAACTTTTATATATATACTAGGTGATCCGGCAAGTGTTGTTTTGCCATATAAATTATTTCTAGAGAATATTTTGGTAGGAAAAAATAACTAACTTATTGTGACAGGTAATAAAACAGAAAAAAGTGTGTGAGGATGTGGTATATGAGTGAAAGAGGCATGGAAAGCTGTTGAACGATGACGGAATATAAAAACAACTAAACACGAAACATTTTTTAAAAATTTATTGTAATTTATTCTTTAAAATTATATATATCACTAATTATAACAATATCAATCCCTTAATGCAGTAGAGTGTACAATATTTTTTGTTAGCCCATCTTTAACTAACACAAACAAACTGGATGGTTTGCCCACTCGAGAGCATGCCACGTATAATTGGCCGTATGAAAAGCATGGTGTGCTCAAATCTAAGCCACAAACAGACATCGTTTGGCCCTGAGACTTATTGAGAATCATTGCAAATGCCAATCTAATTGGAAATTGAAGACGTTTACATTGAATTGGCACATGTGTAGGTGTAATAGGGATTCGTGTTAGTAATATATTTTCACCTCGGAATTTAAAATACTCGCTTCGACAACGTTTTTCATTAATTTTTTAATGACTAATCGCGTGCCGTTGCACAGCCGTGGTGGGTTCAAATCACGAAGCAAAATAACTGGAGACCCAACCTTCAGTTGTAAAATATGCGGTGGCATGCCTGGCAAATCCAATGAGTTCAAAAACTCTGTTGGATATATCACAGCTTCGTTGGCATCGCAAACTGTATCAATAGATTTTTATGATACTAAGTCCCCTGTCAACAATTGTTGTATCTTGAGATTCAAATTGGTGACGTCCACATTTTTTGCTGTAAAAATTGCTCTTTCTGCCAGCCACTCATGATTAATGTATTGTGTGTGTACATCGGGAAATATCTGTGCAATGAGAGCATCTTGCGAATTAATGATTGTGCAGAAATCGTTCGGATGCATCCAGTTTCATGTATAGTAACTTTTCCATCGCCGATATCTAACAGTTGTTTTGAGAATGTGTCAGCGGATGGATCTTGAAGCATTTGAACGCGCATATTTACTTACAGTTGCACTTTTTCAACATTACGCTACAAGTGGTGATGATTTTAAGCAAGCGTTGATCTCATCAGCGTACGTTGAACGTGGAATTGACAGGAAAGTGTTTGTCTGAAATCCCGTGAAAGGAGAGTGATTAGTTTGCCTCCAAATAGTTTTTTATGTCTTTCAATGTCTTGCTCAACGCCTCAAGCCGAAACTGCGAGCATAATGCGGTCGTTAGTTAGTTTTCATTTTCTGTTTTGCGCTGCAAAGAAATTCCACAAGTTATTATTGATATGAATTGTACTTAAGTGATGTGATATTGATTAATAATTTCTTTCTCTTTCAGCGGCCTACAACAGTCACCGCGAGGCATCCAGCCTCTCTATCTTCGCTGCACGCAGGGCCGCATCAAGTGGTACTATCCGCGTGGGGCATTGCGGGTCCTTCTTAGGCCTCCACTGTCTACATTCCAAGGCTGCGTGAGGATAGCAGCCAATTCCACAGGTGCCCGTCTGTACCTGGAAGGAGAAAAGAAGCTGTACCCTCTGTACAAGGCCGGGGATGGCAAACCGGAGGATTTACACAGATGTTTCACTTCCAGAAAAAGTCAGGTAGCACTTTACGTCGAGGCTGATCCGCCTCTGGATATTTTAAAGAAAGATACCATCGAGTTTACTTATGATCTGATGCCACAGAAAAATCTGGCGGATGACATGGAAGGTGAGTTCGATATTCTAAACTTTTATTTTATGTCTTAAATGCGTAGGAGTTGGAGAGAACCGAAGTTACTTTTTGGTTTGGAACAACTCCAGAGGAGCAAATATTTCGATCAAGTGTATGTATCGAAAAACATTATGTGTATATCTTTGATAGCAAATCTGTAGAGGAGTGACAAGCATGGTTACGTTCTGAAGGCCATACGGCATGATAAAATTTTTCCTGATATGCCAAAGCAGATAAAAAAGCACAGAAGATGAGAAGGCTGGTGCCCATAGGGTGTTTCCTTTAAGGTTACTCTATGACAAGTTTGAGTCAGTGACGTCACTTAGTGATAGTATGCTCAAAAGCAAATATTCACCGCTGCCTTTGTGTTTCGTTTCTTTCATTTCTATCCGTTAAGTGACGTCACTGAATTCGAGAGTTGGAAACTGCCTAACCTTTTTTTGGGTACTGATAGCATATCTGTAGAGAAGTGACAAGCATGTTTACGTTCTGAAGCTGATTAAATTTTTCCTGATTTGCCAAAGCTGATAAAATTTCACATAAGACGAGAAGGCATAGTATGTTTCCTTCAAGGTTACTATATTGCAAGTTTTGCTTTTCTCTGACGTCACTGGCTCATAGTCTGCTCAAAAGCAAATAGTCACTGCTGCCTTTGTGTTTTCGTGTCTCCCATTTCTGTTCGTTAAGTGACGTCACTGAATTCGACAGTTAGAAAGTGCCTAAGCCTTTTTTGGCTACTGATTTTGGTTTCCTGTCTAGGGGGTTTTCACATATAGCAACGCCAGAAGAAATTTTTCCCAGAAATGCGTTTCGTCCATCACAAGTTTGAACGAGACTTTTCTAGCCGAAACAGTTCCATTAGGCGATCTGTTGCGCATACTTACCCGGGACATTTAACAAAGCTGTGTAAAATGTTTCACCTGTAGCTGTTTCTTGCGTAGGTTACACTTGCCGAAAGCGGAAATTCCCGGAAGAGTTTCTTAACCCTTTGACTACGAATTTAAAAAAAAAAAGAAAATTTCCCTCGTTTTCTATCCATGTAAACAAAATCTGACATAAATAAGGTAAATTTAGCATTTGGGATTTTCTTTTTTGGCAAAGGATTTTCACGCCAAAGGCTGTGGACACATATGTCCTGGACGTAGTTAATGGTGGGATCCATATGTCCCACACGTAGCGGTCGACTTACTCTAAGCACACCTATTATTATGGAGAACTTTATTATATGAAAGAGATTTACATAGTATGCTACAGGATAAAAAGCATTCGTTGCATAACCCAACATTACGCATTGGGCAGCTCATATTTGTTCTTTTCTCTATGTTCATTTGTGTACAACGAGCACAGCGCCGTCTTGTTTTTCCAAATATTGGAAGATCATCCCCAACATTTAAGAGATTCTCAAGTTCTTTTAACCCAGCAGTCATTTTTAAACTTTCAGTGGGACATATATGTCTACGTGCGGTAGCGCGTGGTTTTTTTGGGGGGCATTGCAAGGGTGCTTCCATTTTCATATACCTACATGACTTCTTTAATATAACATGCATGACAATCCAGACAATGGTCTGCATAAACACATTTCTGCAACGCGCAACTGTTAAGAAGTTTATTGCCCACCAGCGGCCGAGAGGTAAAGACTATGAACACTGGTAGTTCGGTTCGAGGTTCGAATCCCGCGAACGGGCTGGCTGCATGGGCGTTTTCGTGGTTTTCCCCATGTGTAACTTGTATACGAGCCAGTTTCCCTTAGAAAGTCCTCCACGAAGGCATCCCTCCCTTTAGGCAGATAGCCCTCGTGTGCTTTGCCATAATTGAATAACCCATAAGAAGTTTATTATTTACGTGTTCCACCCTAAAGCACTACACGGAAGGAAGGGATGCCTTCGTGGAGCTCGGACCGAACTACCAGTGTTCAGGGACTTTACCGCTCGCCGCTGGTAGGCCTATTAGGAAGTTAGAAAGAGTTATGCCTATACAGCTTTTGCCATGGAGCTGTACTCTACTGTTCACTAATGCTTGGGAACTTTTGCCTCTTGTAAAAAAAGAATTCATTACTTTCAGTTTTTTTCTGTTAATTCAATGTGCAGCTATTATTTAATGTTTCTGAGCCTAAAACAGCTTCTCTCATTGTGTCCTGCTGTAGGTACCATTTCAGACATTAAAGGAGGGAGTTGGAATCCAAATACAGAAAACAAAATAGAAATGATTAGTTGTGCATGCTTTGTAATGAAGATTCATGCCTTTCATCGGAAATAGGAAAAAAGCACCCATTTGGGCGTAATATAAAATCTGAAAGCTTTCATATTCCCCTCCCCCCCGGCACGCTTTTATATAGGACGAAAGCAGTCGTTTTGTGCAAACCGTCAAATAATAATTTTAATAAGTTAGGAACTTTTCCAGATTGCAAGATTATCAAATGAATTTGACCATTGTAAAGTTGTAAATTTTTCCCAGTATAATTTTTTCTCTCAATAAAAATGCGTAAAGGATTAAGTATTAAAAAATGCTCTGCACGCGAAACCTTGAGCTGAACAAAGAGAGACATCTGTAAAACTAACCCGCGCATCCACACCCAAACCTACATGGTACAAAATTTCTATCTTATCTTTGTAAGCATCTGAGCTCGCTTTATCTAGATTTTCCGCACTTTCGTGCCCAGGGGGCGCTGGCTGTCCTTTTCACAGCGCAGAAAAGCCGGAGAAATGTACAAAGAAGAGAGATATATTATGAAAGTGGGGAATGAAAATTATGAAAAAAATGGAGAGTCATCTTTTTCTCTCTCTCTCCCTCTTTCCCTCACCGCGCAAACCTGTCGTTTTGCTTTCCCCTGGAAAAAAGGTTTTGACCTCCAGCCAGGTTCCCATGCCTGGGTCGATTACGTCACGAGCACACGTTCGTGATGCTCCATGTCAAAGTTTACGCCATAAACCCGTAAAGTACGCCCACTCCTATCTTGTGCCCATGTCGCGTTTTTATTCGCTCGGAATTCAAGAAAAAGAAACTGGCGGTTTTTCGCCAAGTTTGCGTCTTCTTTTTTCTTCTAATCACAGAATTTTATTTTCGGTTTGTGGCGACAGTGTGTCAGAAGTGTATTTAATTGCAGCGTCATTGTTTTCAGTTGAATATAGAAATCAATAGTTAATTTTATTTGTCGTAGGATATTCCACATTTCTTTGGTAATTTAGTACATTTTTGAAGTATTTTTTATGTTAATATTAATTGCAATTACGTGTTTTTATTATGTTATAGAGTTACCATATGCCCTGGATATGACCAGATAATTCTGGGTTTATATAACCCCTGGGATTAAAAAAGTCCGAAATTTTTAAATGAGGTTATAGAAATTGAACAATTAATTTATGTGTGGTGATCTCATGAAGCCATTGTCGTGCTTTTATGGAAATGCAGATATTTTTGGTTCGGGATCTTGCTAAATGATTTCATTAACATGTCTTCAAATCTGTATCATGACAACAGACTTGTTGCCTAGCGACGCACTATAGATTCTAATAATTTCTTAATGGATTTTTTGCATCTTCATTTGAATTTCATTTCTTCTTACCATGTTTTGTTTCTTATACAGGAAGGAATACGGAGTGCCTTTGCAAATAAAGATTAGAGAAAAATAATTACATCAATAAATTTGTATTCATTTGGGGGGTGTGGCATTCACAAATAGGTTATAAAATACAATTTAACAGTGTACATTTTTCACGTCTTATTCCGCTATCCCAAAATTCGGCCGGTACCACCCCTTTAAAAATAATAATAATAATAATAATAATAATAATAATAATAATAATAATAATCGTCCATCAATACAAAAACATATTTTTTATTCGATTCCGAGAGAGCAAACACCCCATTTCCCCTTTCCCTGCGCACACTTCCGGGAAACAAAGTTTCAAAATGTAAAAAATAATAAAACTGAAATTAATTTTTCGTACGATTTCATGAATTATCTTTCGTGAAATATAGTAACCCTAACTAACTACTGTGTATAGTTACAGTTAAATATCAGTTCATAATTATTACTATATAATTCAGGAATAAACCTCGAGAACTCTGCAATAAATTAATACATTCTTCTATTCTTGTTATGTAGCGAGAATCATGTGCATCTAAGCAATCTAAAAGTTCCCCTTTCATATCCGAGCAGTTCTATTATCTTAACGATAATTTGTTCTGAGTTCTTCTTCTGCTCTGTTGTAAAAGCACCTCAAAAAGCTGATCTTTAATTCGGTTATAATATCCCAGACTGTAGAAGGCCTCATAATCGTTCTTTAGTTCTTCATAATCCTACATCCTTCATAAAGGTAAGGAAAAATTGACTTAGGGGACCCCTGAAAGAACGTTGTTCCTTAAACCCATATTAGCTTAGTATGACCCTACCTACAGCATAAATTAGTAATACTCTAGACAGAAGTATAAAATATGTAATAACAGCCCAAAATTATAGCATAAAATGTTAATCCAAAATATTTCAAAGAAAATCATGTTTGAAAGAAACTATATAGCATTATTTCAAATTATATGAAACGCAATTTGGGATAGAAATGGGAACCTACAGTGGTAAAAACTATGCATTCCGAAGAATGTACACTTTTTCATAAATTCTCTTCATATCTGCAAATGCCTTAAATGCGTTCTTAGAGTAGATGAAATAAATCAATAATAAAAGAAATAACGATTTTAAAGCCATCAAAATAGAAGAAAATAAGGGAGCAAAATCAATAAAAATTTACGAGATAAGGCAAACACATGGAAAAACTGGAATTATTACAAATTTTGTATTTTACTTGAACTTATTATTTATTTTATCTCATCTGTTGAAATAAAGCGGAATATCTTTATGCATGTAAAAAAATTTTAAAAAAATATCATCTCTCTTAGAATAACGTACTATTTTTTTGGGAAACCATTCTTAATCTGAAAAAGATTTTTTTCTAATTTCTAATTAAATACTAGCGTGTTTCTCTTTCACGTGTTAAAAATAG